AAATGGGCTTCACACATTGTACCATTTTGGGGTATATAAAACGGGGGTTCGGCGTGACGAGCGAATGTTTGCCCTTGTCATGTAATAAGCGGCTCCCAGTTGTGATGTCGATAGATATATACAGCATGGGGTGGGGTGGGGTTTTTTATGGGGTAGGGTGGGGTGGGGGTGGGGGGGGGGGGGGGGGGGGGGGTGGTAGTGTGTGTGTGTGTGTGTGTGTGTGTGTGTGGGGGGGTGTTGTTTAACGCCGCAGTGTGACCATGTGCAGATATATAAAGGCAACCTGTCGCTAGTCGAGTCTCGACAGACAAACCAGTGATTGTTATAAGCAACGGTTCAGGCAAACAACCAAGTCACTTTGCTTGATCGCCCTATCCATTTAGTCCCCGCTACGACAAGCATAGGTTGCTGGGGACCAATTTTAGTCCGGAATCCCCGCGGTAGAGTTTAGGTGAACATGTTAGTTTACGGGAGGAGAAGTTGTATATTGTGAGGGTTGTTTTGTCGTAAACATAGAGTCCGGAGAGGGAAGGCTGTTATACACCACACTCTACAATGTTACCATGAGTGAGTGAGTGAGTTTGGTTTAACGCCGCTTTTAACAGTATTCCAGTTATATCGCGGCGTGTCAGCTTAATGTGGGAGGAAAGCCCGAAGTGATGCAGGTCTAAGACGTTTACCACTTCGGTGAAACCCACGAGCACGGGTATGGTGCTGACAAACCTAGAAACATAATCGGGGCGAACCGGGATTCGAACCCACAATCATAGGTTTCTGGCGTGCCGAAGGGACGAAACTCTGCACAGCGAATCGCGGCGCCTTAGACGACTGGGCCACCCGTGCCCCCACAATGTTACCATGACCGGTAAAGATCCGGGGTAGAATAGGTCTTCAGCAACCCATGCTTGCAGTAAAAGGCGACGATGCTTGTGGTAAGAGACGACTAACAGGATCGGGTGGCTCGCTGCCTTATATTAATTGCTGCAATGTCATCGTATCCCGATTGCGGGGTTCGATGTTCATGATGTCAATCACTGGATTGTCTGGTCCAGACGCGATTATTTACAGACCACTATCATATAGCTGGAATAATTACTGTGCGGCGTTAAACAACAAAAAACAAACAAACAAACAAACAAACAAACAAACACCATACACTATGGCGGCCTGTAATCCAATCACGTCTGGGCCAGGCAAACCAGAGCATGAGCACAGCTTCACCATCAGGGTACGATAACTCAGCCAGGTCACTGTCTGCTAATACTCGTTCTCGAATTCAGTTGGGTATTGTGGGAGCGGTTGTGTAGACTAGTGGTTAAAGCGTTAGTTCGTCCCGATGAAGGCCAGGGTTCGATTCCCCGCGTGGATACAATGTGTGAAGCTATTTCTGATGTCCCCTGTCGTGATATTACTGGAATATTGCTAAAAGCGGCGTAAAACAATACACACTCGGGTATTGCGTCAAACGTTAGCGTCCTATTCTAAATGTCCATGAAACATCAGCTATATGATAAGAAAATATAATAAAATCATTTTACAAAACACACATTTAGCAGACTAATAAAAAGACATACAACGAAATGGATTGATATTTTGCAGTATTTGTTCCCCAGTCTCAAAGAGGACATTATTTAACAGCGATGGTGTAGAAACCTTTTTATGCTTCAAACAGTAAACTACGGTTATAACGAACTCAACGGGACCACTAATTTTAGTTCGTTATAACCGTAGTTCGCTATAAGGATATATACAGCATAACTACAGCAAATAGTCGGGACAAAAAAGTAAGTTCGTTATATCCGTCAGTTCGTTATAAGCGTGTTCGTTATAAACGTAGTTTACTGACTACTCACCGACTCACCCGTGTACCCGTTCACTCACGCATGGTCGAAAAAGACTTCTGGTCTCTGATAGCGTTAGTTCATGTCCCCCTTAAATCACTATCAATGGCGTGACTGACGGTAAATTCTGATTATGTTCAGGCAATTTGGTTTTTAATAGAATATAAAGTATTTGCCAATACTCATATAGATCCACACTGCGTTCTGTGCTGATTATTACAGTAAACTACGGTTATAACGAACTCAAAGGGACCACTAATTTAGTTCGTAATAGTTCGTTATAAGCATATATAAACATATATGTCACAAATGGCCGGGACTGAAAAATAAGTTCGTTATATCGGTCAGTTCGTTTTAAGTGTGTTCGTTATGAACGTAGTTTACTGCACTTTAAGATCCTGATATTAAGATAAACGTAGTTAGTGCAAAACTGCAGGCAAAATATGTATACGCCCGTGTTTGATGGCGGTTGAAAATGGAACAAACAAAAATGGTTAGTAGACGGTGATGTTTTTATGTATTTCATTCGGGTGTCATTGTTGTGTTTTGGACCTTAAGGGTGTAGTGTTTCGGCGACTTTTTTGAGCCTAGTAACGTAATATAGGGAACTGGTTCTAACCCTGGGGGCTGTGTGTGATTGTGTGTGTGATTGTGCGTGCGTGCGTGCGTGCGTGCGTGCGTGCGTGTACGCGCGTGTCTGTGTGTGTGTGTGTGTGTGTGCGTGCGTGCGTGCGTGCGTGCGTGCGTGCGTGTGTGTGTGTGTGTGTGTGTGTGCGCGCGCGCGGGTGTCTCAGTCGTCTCAGGCGTTGCAATTCGCTGGGTTCGAAACCCGGTTGGTCCGATTTATTATGTTTCTTGATTTGTCAGTACCATACCCATGCTTGTGGGTTTCACTTAAGTGGTAAACGTCTAAGACCTGCATCATTTCGGGCTTCCCTCCCACGTTAAGCTGACACACCGCGATATTACTGGAATACTGTTTAAAACTGCGTTAAACCAACTCACTCACTCACTCACTCTAACCCTGAATCCCGTATTTAGAATTGATATACTTGCAGGGTGGTCATCATTATAATCCTCATAAATATACTGCTGTCAACATGACGCTTTATCTTACAACCGTCATTGAGTAAGTAGGTATAAGTTTCACAGTGTATCTGAGCGCATGTCATTTTACGACGCCGTACATCGTCGTTCATGCTATCAATCATTGCTTTGTCTTCCCCAGTCCCAAAATTGTACAAGTCGATTTTATGTAGCAGGAATACTGCTAACAATGGCGTAAAACAATATTCACTTACTCACCCATTGACCAATACAACATCCATAGCCACTCACACACAAAGATTCAGACGGACAGACAGACAGACAGACAGACAGCTGTATTCAGTATACAGGCCTTTGGCCCAAAATACCTCAACAAGCATTTAGTTGTTTATGTTGAAAACATATTGTCTGTTTTAGATGTAATCAAATCTCGCCTAGTAGAACTTCATCAGATATATGGCTTAAGGCCATGTGTCCTTATTGCGTTGATAGAATCCTTATAAACAGCACTCCGCTTACCGCGAACTACGATTTTCTCGATTGATATCTTTTACTGAAAAATATTAGAAAATTATATTTTCGTGTACCAACGGTACTCCATAACAGGATCATCGCTATACCCATAACGCAAAACATCATATTATTAAAACAAATATATTATATTATTAATAGGATCTTTACATCATAGTTGCTTTTAAAAAATATTTTAGATGGTACATGAGATCTGCTTCGTAAACGAGCACCGGTCTACACATGGAAACAAACAAGTTTAAGACAAACCCAGATAGCAAAATGCACCACTAAATCATTTGGATTTGATATTTATACGTTGATTTTCATATACAGACGAACCCAGGCAGTATCGCTGAAATAAAACGTCTAAATTAAACTCATCAAACAGAAGCGGTTTTATGATGATGATGATGATGATGATGATGACGACGACCGCGATGATGACGACGACGACGATGATGATGATGATGCCTACAACATAAACGCAACTACAATTGTTTTCACAGTCTGCAGTTAAAATATGCAGTTGAATGTATAACAGCAATATCACTAAACATTTGAAGTGTAATTAAATATTAACTATGATCCTTTTATCGACGTCATGAAATGAGGCATTTTGTCTTATGCAAATTTATGATAAAATCATTACATTTAATACCCCAAACTTGTAATATTCTCCCATACACACAACATATGGCACAGTAATTCGCTCCCATTAACTGTTTTTGTCTATAACGAACTTTTAGAGCTAGTCTGATGTGGCGACACAAATCTTGACTTCTTTGTTGTGTCCGTGGCGTCTCTGTCATAAAATTACGACCACTGCCGATATAAAAGAAGCCAGTTTGTGACATAACGGTTTATATCATTTACTCCTGGAAACAAAGCCAGCCTACGATGTTCTGGGAACATAGCATTCATATAGTCGTGGATCGCTGCTCCAAATCTGTCCAAACACTTCCAAAGCACGCGAGGACTTTATCAAACAGTTATTGTGAAAAGAGTAGCAGCGAAGCGCGTCGGATAAAATGATAGCGATTTGAGTTGTATTGTCGCGCTTGAGTAGTTCTTCCTCGTACGGTGTGTTTACACTCAAATCCCGTACCTGCGAGGTTTAGAACTGGAGACATTCTCTCTGCGGATGTGTCCACGATTGTTGACAATCAAACAGCCTCGCGATCATGGGTAATTAAAGGGCATTTGTACGCTGGTGTATCGCTGTTGATGCATCGAATACACCGTAGCTCATCACTCTTACTTTCTTTGATAGTCGCTGAAAATATTTGTGCAGCAAACACGCTATCAAATTTAGACGACTTCCGACAAAAGTGTTCGTTGACAATGTACACAGACACTTCTGTGGTGTCGTCTGCTAGAAACCCGCGTAGTGTCGTGTGCTCGAGAACACGACCAGTACTGTCGTCTGCCGGGCACGTGCGCGGCTCGCGAATTGCAAGCAAGGAGGGGCTTCGCCTTGCATTGAAATAGCTTTGACGGACTGCTGACATTAGCGTTTGAATGTTTTCTCCGCAAGGAGGTGTGTTTAGGGGAAGCAAGGCTATTGTTAGCCGGCCAAGATCGATCGCTGGGTCATGAATATTAATTAATTGGGTCACGTGACACGCGAGAGCAAGATATCCCAACCGGTTGGATGAAGCGAGTATGACATAGGCTATTAAGAATTGAGTTAGCTTCCAAATACCAAAATTCTTGACTACCGACCTCGAAAAGTCGACCATCGTGGAGAATTCAGTGTTCAGAGAAATGGCCCATACGGATCTTAGTCCACAACATACCCGAATTCATTCCTGCAGCCCTTCTCTGAGTCCTCCGCCGTCGACGTTAGCGGATATGATCAGTCGAAACAAGTTTCTAGAAGGTAAACTTTTAGTCTTTAGACCATACATGTCACAAGCAGTTATACACTATTATGAAAATTTGCATTACAGAACGAGCTCTAAATTAATTGATTTGGAGAGCGCGGTTCGTTTTTGGCTGTGTGCTAGCGTGGGGCTATTAGGTTGATTGTTCGATGTAATTACTTTGGAGTGCAAACAGTCGAATAATATTTTGTATTAAAAGTTCATGAGCCAGGAAGATTTGATTTGCGTGTTCCCCGACCTCATTTATTTTACTGATTTGATCTAGGGACCGAAATTCAATATTACGCTCGGCCATGTCGCAAATAACAGGATCGCCCCTCAATCTAGTTCCATAAATTTGAAGATAACTTCGATTTTGTTTGATTATTTTGGTCGCTGCCAAATTAATAGGAGGACTTTCAGTATACGTAAGCAGACTAATATTCACCGGGGATGCTTGTTTCAATTCGGGGAATGTCCCATTTTGATCAGTCTGTATTTTGAAACTGGGGAGAACAGTTCGGATTGGGATGACAACCCGACACCGGAGTACCTAACCTCGACGCAACTTTAGTAAGTTCTAAGACATCTACCCTTGTCAATATAGTTGACTTGTTTTGGACCCCGTTTAACCTCGTTGCTGATTATACTATTTTTGTTATTCTACTGTCAATGATAATTATTTGAGAGTTGAAGTTTATTTTTTGGTCAATCAGTCTTACGTCGCTTTGAGAACTGAAATATTCGTTCATATTGAATGAGAATTAACCATGGAGATTGTTCATATCTTTAACTATTTCAACAAGATCCTAAGTTACATCCATTATAACTGTACGATAACGGTGTCTACTTTAATATAAGTCTACATGCATATTTCCATATCATAATGTAACGGTATATTAATTTCAAATGTTTCTTTTCGAAATGCCTATACAGGCCCGTGGTGAACAATTCATGTTCATTTCACCGTAGTCTATTTCATAAATAGACACATTTCTTTTGAATATATATTTCGTTTAAAAATGAATCGTAATTCTACAAACAACAAACATTGAAACAGCCCATTCACCCTTTAATATGTTCCTGGGAGGAGGTGACGACATCTGTTGTGGTCGTAGAGTGCACGCGATGAATTATTCTAATACGAACATTAACTCCATGATACAAAGAAACGTAATTTTATTTGATACCTTATTAAGAAAGTGATATTGAACAGAATATTACATCCCCGTTTAAACGACGATACATTCTCACTGTAGCCCCGAAGGGTGTCTACGGTATATCAAAGGGAGTAGGCTTAACTTTGATATTTAATTTCCGTATCCTTTTTTCCCATAACATGTCATTAGTAACAATTAAAATAGGAATTAATCATTCTTATGACTTTCAAATGATTGATTTGAAGATATATCGTTATGTGTCTTATGCATACAAGTATAACTGCACAAAACAAGTGATGTGCAATCTATGTTATTTGAACTTTATATTCATTAATAACTTTATACAGAATACGTGTTTTAATCAATTCTCGTTTAACTTTTACGTGACCTCATCAAGTGATTTTTTAAAATATTCTTCCCGTGAAAAAGATATAATTTCTGTCTTAGGATTATTAATAGAATGACGCTCGCGCTTTTATCTAAATAAACATCGCTATGATTGACGTGGTTTGAGAATGGCTAATACAGAGAGAATTTATGTTTACAAAGGAACCGCTTCGGATTATCCTTCAATATGATGGCGTCGATATCTCCTTCCGATACATATGAATATTTTTTTCAAATTCACTTCAAAGTCATTTATAATTGTTTTGTCGGCTTCTTAATTTTTCATTTGGCTATGAGACACAATTATTAGTTAAATACCTGTATCAAATTGGGATACTTTTCACAATACATCAGCATGAATAATTATTCACAATCTGTTGTGTAATATAGATAAAAGAAATGTAAAACTAACTCTGGTAAAAGTAATTTAGATGTTTATGCCAACCGAGATGATTTTGTGCTGAAACATGTGTTTGAATGAAATCCGTTAAATGTTTCTTTGGCGTAAAATCCACATAAATGAACTATCCGTCTTTGGTATATTTAATATACTTCCATTGTCACTCAATCAAGCTTAACTAAGCATCATATAATATACAAACAAACAAACGTCATGCATCCGAGATGCTGGTATTGATAGTTTTTTTCTGAAAAATGTTAGGATTCTGTTCAAAGAGAGATTTGATCTGTGTTTCGAAATACGTGAAACTTGCACAGATTTCGTTTCCAACGGGTTTCCGAATATGCAAAATTTAAATGAAAATATGAATTAAAAACAAGGAATTGTGAAATTTAATCACGTATTGGCCATAAACATATACTTTTCTTTCAAGTAATAAGGTATACAAATTGGTATATGATAGCTCGTGTAAGCAGGAACTTGTGAAATGGAGGTCTAATAAACTTTGCAATCACATTTCACATAGACTGATGAAAACAATGGTTCGAACCACCTGCAAAAAATACACACAAACACACACATTGAAGCGCGCTTACAACAGAGGAATAACATGGATTTGTTAACAGTTTGTTTCAAAGCAGTCGTATCACTTTCGCCACAGGGAGTAATTTCATTTCATAATCGGATAAGGTCAAGTCGTGCATTACAGTTAACATAACAGGTGTACGGTCGCGTTGTCAATTGGACGATGTGGGATATTGTTTCTTTTGAAGATACCGCCAGGTAGACGCTTCCCTATGTTCGCTCCCCCTCCGAAACAAGCCCCCTGTCCTCCGTACACCTGCTGTGGCCAACGAAGCGTGCGACGCCTCAGGGTGTAGCACGTGCCACGTGCTCTCCGTGCTTGTAGTTTCACGAGAACAGTTACGTAAATTATATTTATGGGTGTCTCGTATGCCGTTCTTCTTTTGTGGGTTTGAAATTTTATGGTTTGACATACAGCAATGACATATTTAGTGTAATTGTTATTCCTTATCACGACTTGGGACGTCGAGCTGATAACATTTTGGCAATTACTCGGTATTTGTTTACGTTTACAATAAACGATATATTGCTTTGAGGGCAGAGATCAGAAGTTGATAAAGTTTTGAACTATTTTTGCAAGATGACACTCACACACGTATCGGCTTCAGAAAGTATTTTCACCATTTAACTGATAATAACTTAAGCCAACTGGATATCTGTTTACTATGTTCATTGGAAAATATGGCACATTATCATGTGCAAATATTTATCTAAACGAGGCCAATTCTTATTGGTTAACGATGACAGAAAATTAAATGTATTCTTTTTATTTGCGTACTATATTTTGGCGTATTAATTTGGCGTAGTGACATGAGACATTATACCCATTTCATAACCACACAAGGCACACCTTGAACTGTTAGACATCCGTCTCTCCAGGAGAAGACGCCAGTGCTGGAAATGCAATATTTTTAGAATATATTGAAAGACGGGAGACAGCTTTGAGGACTTTTCGAAATCGGATCTGTAAAGAATTGTTATGAAGAACGGATCAGCAAAAACAACACTACGGTTGCCATGGAAACAAACCTTAAAAGCTCACCAGAGTAAAGAAACCGTACAAAAATCGGAACTGGTGGGGAAGAGAAAGCCGAAGCGACTGCTTGTCTATTGTCTTTAACCGACGTTTAGCCGTAGAATCCTTTAAGAGGATTTCGACCAGCGATTAGCCCACAATATTAGCGGATTTTAACTGCTCGAATCTTCCTCAAATCGCTTGATGACTTCTAAGTGAAGTAATAGGATTTGAGGGAGAGGGGTTTTGACAGGCTACGTCGGTCTATCGTTTCTAATTTCGCCCTAAATCGTATAAATGCCACGATGAAAAAGCCACGATACAGACGAATGAGCGTTGGACATGAGAATGAATCGATGCGCTGTTGAATTTGCCTGGAGGGTTGGATTTAAAGGCATTGCCACCTAGAGAAATATTACAATAAATGTTTTGAAAAGAGTTTTGCGCAGAAAGGTTTTAGAGGCTTGAAATTGAGGATGTTGCGTTTTTGGTGTTGAAATAGTGGTATTTCTTTGAAGAGCTTTTTTGAGAGCTCGTTTTAGAATATTAATTTTCTGATTTCGTGTTCTTGGTCGTTCATGAAAATTACTCTATGTTATGTGTCCAAACATGGTTTACAGTGAATACTAACTTATTCATCGTCTATATGAGACTGAACATTATGTTTGTACGAAAATCAGATCGATCTCCTACCTATCTATAAATAGTTATCGATACACCGGATCGATCTGTTAGTTACAGATAAATATAATCTTTCACCTTTCATTATGAACATCAAATTGTCAATAATCATCACACTTTGCAAGTCGTGTCAACACTGTCAGATATTATCACCGTGGACACTCTTGAATTATCAGGTTTCATGGAAAGTGTTTCTGTTAAAAAATGGAATAATGTAACATATTTCGTTGAAACTCACAGATGGCGATCGCGTGTTTCAATGAATATGAAGAAAGTTTTTATTTCAACCATTCATTAATCGTCCCTATTTCTCGTCTTTCCGACACCCTTTAACCTCTACAGCACGGAATTCACGCAATGCAGACACACGGATAGCACGTGCCGCACGTGCAACTACCAATCCATTTGATCATTGTGAATGGGAAAACTATTTCTCAAGCCGCGGCTTTGGGCAGAGCACGCGGGTGGGAATATCTCGTCGGCCATTCCAATGTTCGATTTGACTTTTGTAGTTCCTCAAAATGTATGAGCTTAAGGTCGGGAACGACAAGTTTACAATGGCAGGTGTCACGTGATATATTCGCGTGCGTCGTTGGCGCGTGCCGGATGGACAGACTCGCTCGAGCGATTCCAACGCATCTGTCGTCCGATATATTGCCGGGAGTGGTTGACGCAATATTTCTATCTATCTTTTCGACCACCTGGCTTGTTTTTCACCTGGTGTGGATTTCATTATGTCAGGAAGCTGTCAATCACAAGGGCATAGGTCACTGTCGCAGGATATACGAA